TCTACGTCAAGCACCTTGGGCGCGGTGGGTTTGCCGTCGGAGGGTTACTAGGAGAGGATGACCACACTGAGGCATCGATGCCTTCGAAGGCATGTGTTCCCGCGCTGCCCTTTGGAAGACTGCGGCTCCGAGTCAGAAAGGTGCAGGCGCCCTCTCGATTGCAGAGGCAACCTTCTAATGATGACAGGGGTGCGGGGTGAGGGCAACATGCGGCCCGCGTGCGCAAACCAGGTTTTTGTGTGTACCATGAGGAAAAAAGGAAGGACATCACGATTGCTCATCCATGCCGCTACGTTTCCATGTGTCTCGAGGCCCCAGGGGCCTCCGCTCCAGACGCGGTCCTCACGTGGACTCGTGCCCACGCAGGGGCAGAGCGTTGCGCGATAGCGCGATAGCTTCCCCCGCGTACAAGTTTTGCATACTTTGGGCCTTGCGGGTGATGCTTGCGCATCCTCCTGCTGCTGCCGCTGCTGGGCTGCCTGCGCCGCCGCTGGTATGGCCCAAGCCATACCCCACACCTCGTGGGGCACCTCCGGTGCGGTAGGGGTGGAGGAAATGGCTTCTGTTTTCTGGGTCCTCTTGGTTAGGGTCCTGGTGGTCATTTCTGGGGGCCCCTACCGCAGGTGGAGTGTTCCAAGAGGTGAGGTGTGTGTGTGTGTGGTTTTCCATCCGCGGTCTGCTTGCTTCTTCCCGTCGGGTTCCTGCCAGTGGGGCCTTCGGTGGAGCTCCCTATGGGGCCACGGGTGGATGATATTAGTGGATGCTGCCACTGTTGATCTACGACTCTGTCGACCATGACGACGATAACGATGATGATGATGATGATCATGATGATCATAGTGATATTGGCGATGGTGATGACGAGGATGATGATGAATGTGTTCATGAGGGTGATGATTATGATGATGCTGATGATGGTGGTGATGATGATGATGATGATGATGATGATGATGATGGCGTGTGTGTTCATGAGGATGATGTTGATGACGATGATGTGTGTCCATGGTGCTACTGATGACGAGTGTTGGTAGTGGGGATGGTGGCGGTGGTGATGACTATGATAATGCTGAGGAGCATGATGATGATGATGATGCTGATGATGATGTTATTGATGGTGATGATGCAGATGATGCTGATGCTGATGATACTTATGCTGAGATGATACTGGCAATGCTAATGCTAATGATGATGATGATGGTGGTGTTGATGATGATGACGATAGTGGTGATGATGATGACGATGATGACGATGATGATGATGATGATGATGATGATGATGATGATGATGATGATGATGATGATGATGGTGGTGGTGGAATGGTGATGGGTGATGGTGAATGGTGATGGGATGGGTGATTGGTGATGTGATGAGATGGTGGATGGTGGTGGTGATGGTGATGGTGATTGTGATGGTGAATGGTGATGATGATGATGAAGGATGATGATGATGATGATGATGATGATGATGAGAATGATGGATCATATTCTGAGGAATGTCTCGGGCGAGCACCTCAGATCTCCCAGCACTCCAAGGGGGGCCGGCAGGGGTATTGCACGGAGCGTTTTGCCTGTTTTCACCACCCGACTCCTCCCGCTTTCGAGCAGATTTTGAGGATGTCTCGAGCGAGGCGCTGGTGCCCGCACGCCCAAAGGGGGGACCTTACCGCAGGTGGTGTGTTCCAAGAGGTGAGGTGTGTGTGTGTGTAGTTTTCCATTTGCGGTCTGCTAGCTTCTTCCCGTTGGATTCTTGCCAGTGGGGCCTTCGATGGAACCCTTTATGGAGCCACGTGTGACGGGTGAGCCGAAATGGTGGAGGTCACGCGTATGACTTTCGTTACCCGGGCCTTCGGTCGGTTCTATCGGTCAGTGGGTGTTTTGTAGCCGATTTCTTGGGTTTAGCCTCGGTGGTTCAAGCTACTGCTGTGCAGGCTCCTCCGCCCAGTATTTCACACGCACATGCGTACACAAACGATCTTCCCCCAGTTCCGTTCTGATGGCAGCCCAGAGGATGCCCTGGGCCGTGTGGTCAGTGGTGCTGGTCGCCCACGGGGTGCCCACCGCGATCTCTATGAATGTGCAGACGACCGCGTCAGGGCGCGCGTTACGACCGAACGACAGCCCCGACAATTTCAACAATACGAACACGACAAAACAGGAAAGGGTCTCATGTGGTAGTGGGTGGTGGGATTCTTGTGGCGGTAGCTCATATTATTGGGCTTGCGGCAGCGGTTGTGCGCGAGGTACATACTACACAAATATATGGTGCGGCTGCTGCTGCGTGCAAAACGTCCCCGCGACGCCGAACCCGACGCCGTACCCGACGCCGTACCCGACACCGTACCCGACGCCGTACCCGACGCCGAAGCCGACTCCGAAGCCGACGCCGCGCCCGACGCCGTACCCGACGCCGTACCCGACGCCGTACCCGACGCCCTACCCGACGCCGGACCCGACGCCGAACCCGACGCCGCACCCGACGCCGAACCCGTCGCCGTTCCCGACGCCGTTTCCGACGCCGTACCCGACGCCGAACCCGACGCCGAACCCGACGCCGAACCCGACGCCCTACCCGACGTCTTACCCAACGCCCTACCCGACGCCTTACCCGACGCCGTTTCCGACGGCGTTCCCGACGCCGTTTCCGACGCCCTTCCCGACGTCGTTCCCGACGCCGTTTCCGACGCCCTTCCCGACGCCCTTCCCGACGCCGTTTTTCCGACAGCTTTCCCGACGCCCTTCCCAACGGGTTTCCCGACGCCGTTCCCGACGCCCAGCCCGACCCCCAGCCCGACGTATCCTCCGGGCTGGCCGACGCCACATCCGACGTTTCTTCCTGGAGCTCCCATGGCGGGTGGAGCCAGCGCAGGCGTGGCTGCCACTGGCGACCCCCACCTTCAGAACGTTCTTGGTCAGCGGTTCGACTTGATGCAACCAGGAAAGCATGTTCTGATTAACATCCCCCGTGGAAGGCGTTCCAATGCAATGCTTCGCGTGGAGGCTGAGGCGCGTCAATTTGGAGGGCAGTGCGCAGACATGTATTTCCACGAGCTGAATATCACAGAAGACTGGGGGTGGAATGGCTAGGACCACCCTCGCAAGCGTCCCCAAGCTTGAGGGTGGCGCACTGACGAGCATCCGCAGTGGTTAGAGTTTGGGGCGTAGAACGCAAAGTCGCCCATGGGCGCACTGAGCAGGGCGCCTTGTACTTGAACTTCTACGTCAAGCACCTTGGGCGCGGTGGGTTTGCCGTCGGAGGGTTACTAGGAGAGGATGACCACACCGAGGCATCGATGCCTTCGAAGGCATGTGTTCACCGCGCTGCCCTTTGGAAGACTGCGGCTCCGAGTCAGAAAGGTGCAGGCGCCCTCTCGATTGCAGAGGCAACCTTCTAATGATGACAGGGGTGCGGGGTGAGGGCAACATGCGGCCCGCGTGCGCAAACCAGGTTTTTGTGTGTACCATGAGGAAAAAAGGAAGAACATCACGATTGCTCATCCATGCCGCTACGTTTCCATGTGTCTCGAGGCCCCAGGGGCCTCCGCTCCAGACGCGGTCCTCACGTGGACTCGTGCCCACGCAGGGGCAGAGCGTTGCGCGATAGCGCGATAGCTTCCCCCGCGTACGAGTTTTGCATACTTTGGGCCTTGCGGGTGATGCTTGCGCATCCTCCTGCTGCTGCCGCTGCTGGGCTGCCTGCGCCGCCGCTGGTATGGCCCAAGCCATACCCCACACCTCGTGGGGCACCTCCGGTGCGGTAGGGGTGGAGGAAATGGCTTCTGTTTTCTGGGTCCTCTTGGTTAGGGTCCTGGTGGTCATTTCTGGGGGCCCCTACCGCAGGTGGAGTGTTCCAAGGGGTGAGGTGTGTGTGTGTGTGTGTGGTTTTCCATCCGCGGTCTGCTTGCTTCTTCCCGTCGGGTTCCTGCCAGTGGGGCCTTCGGTGGAGCTCCCTATGGGGCCACGGGTGGATGATATTAGTGGATGCTGCCACTGTTGATCTACGACTCTGTCGACGACGACGACGATAACGATGATGATGATGATGATCATGATGATCATAGTGATATTGGCGATGGTGATGACGAGGATGATGATGACTGTGTTCATGAGGGTGATGATTATGATGATGCTGATGATGGTGGTGATGATGATGATGATGGCGTGTGTGTTCATGAGGGTGATGTTGATGATGATGTGTGTCCATGGTGCTACTGATGACGAGTGTTGGTAGTGGGGATGGTGGCGGTGGTGATGACTATGATAATGCTGAGGAGCATGATGATGATGCTGATGCTGCTGATGATGATGATGTTATTGATGGTGATGATGCAGATGATGCTGATGTTGATGATACTTATGCTGAGATGATACTGGTAATGCTAATGCTAATGATGATGATTATGATGGTGGTGTTGATGATGATGACGATAGTGGTGATGATGATGATGACGATGCTGACGATGATGATGATGATGATGATGATGATGATGCTGATGATGATGATGATGATGATGATGATGATGGTGGTGGTTGTGATGGTGATGGTGATGGTGATGGTGATGGTGATGGTGGGATGGTGATGGTGAGGGTGATGACGAGTGATTTGGTGATGATGATGGATGATGATGATGATGATGATGATGATGATGATGATGAGATGATGATGATGATGATGATGATGAGAGATGCATATTTTGAGGATGTCTCGGCGGGCGCTGGCGTCAGCACTCCAAGGGGGGCGCCAGGGGGTATGCGTATTGTCTCGAGCGTTGCCTGTTTTCACCACCCGACCTCTCCGCTTGAGCAGATTTGAGGATGTCTCGAGCGAGGCGCTGGTGCCCGCACGCCAAAGGAGGGACCTACCGCAGGTGGTGTGTTCCAAGAGGTGAGGGTGTAGTTTTCCATTTGCGGTCTGCTAGCTTCTTCCCGATGGATTCTTGCCAGTGGGGCCTTCGATGGAACCCTTTATGGAGCCACGTCTGACGGGTGAGCCGAAATGGTGGAGGTCACGCGTATGACTTTCGCTACCCGGGCCTTCGGTCGGTTCTATCGGTCAGTGGGTGTTTTGTAGCCGATTTCTTGGGTTTAGCCTCGGTGGTTCAAGCTACTGCTGTGCAGGCTCCTCCGTCCAGTTATTTCACAAGCACATACGTACGCAAACGATACTTCCCCCAGTTCCGTTCTGAGGGATGGCAGCCCAGAGGATGCCCGGGGCCGTGTGGTCAGTGGTGCTGGTCGCCCACGGGGTACCCACCGCGATTGCTATGAATGTGCAGACGACGGCGTCAGGGCGCGCGTTACGAACGAACGGCAACCCCGACAATTTCAACAATACGAACACGACAAAACAGGAAAGGGTCTCATGTGGTAGCGGGTGGTGGGATTCTTGTGGCGGTAACTCCATTTATTGGGCTTGCGGCAGCGGTTGTGCGCGAGGTAAATACTACACAAACAGATGGTGCGGCTGCTGCTGCGTGCAAGACGTCCCCGCGACGCCGAACCCGACGCCGTACCCGACGCCGTACCCTACGCCGAAGCTGACTCCGAACCCGACGCCGCGCCCGACGCCGTACCCGACGCCGTACCCGACGCCGTACCCGACGCCGTACCCGATGCCGAACCCGACGCCGAACCCGACGTCGCACCCGACGCCGAACCCGGACGCCGCACGGCCGCACCGACGCCGAACGACGCCCTACCGACGCCGTTTCCCCCCCCCGTGACGCCGTACCCGACGCCGAACCGACGCCGAAAACGACGCCGAAACCCCAACGCACTACCGACGTTTACCAACGCCTACCCGAGCCTTACCGGGACGCGTTCCGACGGCGGGGGGTTCCCGACACCGTTTCGACGGCGTTCTCGACGCCCGTTCCGACGCCATCCGAAGTCGTTTCCCCCCCCCCCCCCCCCTCACGCCGTCCCGACGCCCTTCCCGACGCCCCTCCCGACGCCTTCCGACAGCCTTCCGACGCCCTTCCCCACGGGCTTCCCGACGCCGTTCCCGACGCCCAGCCCGACCCCCAGTCCGACGTATCCTCCGGGCTGGCCGACGCCACATCCGACGTTTCCTCCTGGAGCTCCCATGCCGGGTGGAGCAAGCGTGGCTGCCACTGGCGACCCCCTCCTTCAGAACGTTCTTGGTCAGCGGTTCGACTTGATGAAACCAGGAAAGCATGTTCTGATTAACATCCCCCGTGGAAGGCGTTCCAAAGCAATGCTTCGCGTGGAGGCTGAGGTGCGTCAATATGGAGGGCAGTGCGCAGACATGTACTTCCACGAGCTGAATATCACAGGTGCGTGGGTGGAGGCGAAGGGAACCGACGGTCTCCAGTTTCCAAGCTGAGGGTGCGCACGACGAAGCATCCGCGTGGTCTAAAGTTTGGGGGCGTAGAAGCTTCAAGGTCGCCCATGGGCGCACTGAGCAGGGCGCGTACTCGAACTTTCTACGTCAAGCACTTGGGGCGAACCGTTTTTGCGTCGTCGGAGGGTTGCTATGAGAGGATGACCACACCGAGGCATCGATGCCTTCGAAGGCATGTGTTCACCGCGCTGCCCTTTGGAAGACTGCGGCTCCGAGTCAGAAAGGTGCAGGCGCCCTCTCGATTGCAGAGGCAACCTTCTAATGATGACAGGGGTGCGGGGTGAGGGCAACATGCGGCCCGCGTGCGCAAACCAGGTTTTTGTGTGTACCATGAGGAGAAAAGGAAGGACATCACGATTGCTCATCCATGCCGCTACGTTTCCATGTGTCTCGAGGCCCCAGGGGCCTCCGCTCCAGACGCGGCCCTCACGTGGACTCGTGCCCGCGCAGGGGCAGGGCGTTGCGCGATAGCGCGATAACTTCCCCCGCGTAGAAGTTTTGCATACTTTGGGCCTTGCGGGTGATGCTTGCGCATCCTCCTGCTGCTGCCGCTGCTGGGCTGCCTGCGGCGCCGCTGGTATGGCCCAAGCCATACCCCACACCTCGTGGGGCACCTCCGGTGCGGTAGGGGTGGAGGAAATGGCTTCTGCTTTCTCGGTCTTCTTGGTTAGGGTCTTGGTGGTCATTTCTGGGGGCTCCTACCGCAGGTGGAGTGTTCCAAGAGGTGAGGTGTGTGTGTGTGTGTGTGTGGTTTTCCATCCGCGGTCTGCTTGATTCTTCCCGTCGGATTCCTGCCAGTGGGGCCTTCGGTGGAGCTCCCTATGGGGCCACGGGTGGATGATGTTAGTGGATGCTGCCACTGTTGATCTACGACTCTGTCGACCATGACGACGATAACGATGATGATGATGATCATGATGATCATAGTGATATTGGCGATGGTGATGACGAGGATGATGATGACTGTGTTCATGAGGGTGATGATTATGATGATGATGATGATGATGATGATGATGATGATGATGATGATGATGATGTTAATGATGATGATGATGATGATGATGATGATGATGATGATGATGATGATGATGATGATCATGAGGATGATGTTGATGACGATGATGTGTGTCCATGGTGCTACTGATGACGAGTGTTGGTAGTGGGGATGGTGGCGGTGGTGATGACTATGATAATGCTGAGGAGCATGACGATGATGATGATGATGCTGGTGATGATGATGATATTGATGGTGATGATGATGATGATGCTGATGTTGATGATACTTATGCTAAGATGATACTGGTAATGCTAATGCTAATGATGATGATGATGATGATTATGATGGTGGTGTTGATGATGATGACGATAGTGGTGATGATGATAGTGGTGATAATGATGATGATGATGATGATGATGATGATGATGATGGTGGTGATGGTGATGGTGATGGTGATGGTGATGGTGATGGTGATGGTGATGGTGATGGTGATTGTGATGGTGATGATGATGATGATGATGATGATGATGATGATGATGAAGATGATGATGATGATGATGATGATGATGATGATGATGATGATGATGATGATGATGATGATGATGATGATGATGGTGATGGTGATGATGGTGATGGATGATGATGATGATGATGATGATGATGATGATGATGATGATGATGATGATGATGATGATGATGATGATGATGATGATGGAGCATATTCTGAGGATGTCTCGGGCGAGGCGCTGGCGTCAGCACTCCCAAGGGGGGGCGCCAGGGGGTATTGTCTCGAGCGGTTTGCCTGTTTCACCACCCGACATCCTCCGCTTTCGGAGCAGATTTTGAGGATGTCTCGAGCGAGGCGCTGGTGCCCGCACGCCCAAAGGAGGGACCTTACCGCAGGTGGTGTGTTCCAAGAGGTGAGGTGTGTAGTAACTTTCCATTTGCGGTCTGCTAGCTTCTTCCCGTTGGATTCTTGCCAGTGGGGCCTTCGATGGAACTCTTTATGGAGCCACGTGTGACGGGTGAGCCGAAATGGTGGCGGTCACGCGTATGACTTTCGCTACCCGGGCCTTCGGTCGGTTCTATCGGTCAGTGGGTGTATTGTAGCCGATTTCTTGGGTTTAGCCTCGGTGGTTCAAGCTACTGCTGTGCAGGCTCCTCCGTCCAGTATTTCACAAGCACATACGTACGCAAACGATCTTCCCCCAGTTCCGTTCTGAGGGATGGCAGCCCAGAGGATGCCCTGGGCCGTGTGGTCAGTGGTGCTGGTCGCCCACGGGGTACCCACCGCGATTGCTATGAATGTGCAGACGACCGCGTCAGGGCGCGCGTTACGAACGAACGACAGCCCCGACAATTCCAACAATACGAACACGACAAAACAGGAAAGGGTCTCATGTGGTAGCGGGTGGTGGGATTCTTGTGGCGGTAGCTCATATTATTGGGCTTGCGGCAGCGGTTGTGCGCGAGGTACATACTACACAAATATATGGTGCGGCTGCTGCTGCGTGCAAAACGTCCCCGCGACGCCGAACCCGACGCCGTACCCGACGCCGTACCCGACGCCGTACCCGACGCCGAAGCCGACTCCGAAGCCGACGCCGCGCCCGACGCCGTACCCGACGCCGTACCCGACGCCGTACCCGACGCCGTATCCGACGCAGTACCCGACGCCGAACCCGACGCCGCACCCGACGCCGAACCCGACGCCCTACCCGACGCCGTTTCCGACGCCGTACCCGACTCCGAACCCGACGCCGAACCCAACGCCCTACCCGACGTCTTACCCAACGCCCTACCCGACGCCTTACCCGACGTCGTTTCCGACGGCGTTCCCGACGCCGTTTCCGACGGCGTTCCCGACGCCGTTTCCGACGCCATTCCCGACGTCGTTCCCGACGCCGTTTCCGACGCCCTTCCCGACGCCCTTCCCGACGCCGTTTCCGACAGCTTTCCCGACGCCCTTCCCAACGGGCTTCCCGACGCCGTTCCCGACGCCCAGCCCGACCCCCAGCCCGACGTATCCTCCGGGCTGGCCGACGCCACATCCGACGTTTCTTCCTGGAGCTCCCATGGCGGGTGGAGCCAGCGCAGGCGTGGCTGCCACTGGCGACCCCCACCTTCAGAACGTTCTTGGCCAGCGGTTCGACTTGATGCAACCAGGAAAGCATGTTCTGATTAACATCCCCCGTGGAAGGCGTTCCAATCCAATGCTTCGCGTGGAGGCTGAGGCGCGTCAATTTGGAGGGCAGTGCGCAGACATGTATTTCCACGAGCTGAATATCACAGGTGCGTGGGTGGAGGCGAAAGGAACCGACGGTCTCCGTTTCCAAGCTGAGGGTGCGCACGACGAGCATCCGCAGTGGTTAAAATTTGGGGGCGTAGAGCTCAAAGTCGCCCATGGGCGCACTGAGCAGGGCGCATTGTACTTGAACTTCTACGTCAAGCACCTTGGGCGCGGTGGGTTTGCCGTCGGAGGGTTACTAGGAGAGGATGACCACACCGAGGCATCGATGCCTTCGAAGGCATGTGTTCACCGCGCTGCCCTTTGGAAGACTGCGGCTCCGAGTCAGAAAGGTGCAGGCGCCCTCTCGATTGCAGAGGCAACCTTCTAATGATGACAGGGGTGCGGGGTGAGGGCAACATGCGGCCCGCTTGCGCAAACCAGGTTTTTGTGTGTACCATGAGGAAAAAATGAAGGACATCACGATTGCTCATCCATGCCGCTACGTTTCCATGTGTCTCGAGGCCCCAGGGGCCTCCGCTCCAGACGCGGTCCTCACGTGGACTCGTGCCCACGCAGGGGCAGAGCGTTGCGCGATAGCGCGATAGCTTCCCCCGCGTACGAGTTTTGCATACTTTGGGCCTTGCGGGTGATGCTTGCGCATCCTCCTGTGCGTTGTGTGCTGTGTTGTTGCTTGTTTGCTGTTTTTTGTGCTGCTTGATTGCGTGATGCTGCTTGTGTGTTTTTTTTGTTGTTTTGTGTTGTGCTTTGCTAATGTTTTTGCTTCTGTGTGTTTGTGTGCTATTTTTTTCTTTGCTTTGTTTTGTTTTTGTTTTGTGTGTTGTGCTGGTTCGTCTGATTTTTTTTTTTCCGACAGTTTTGCTTGCTGGCTGTTTTGTTGTTTATTTTTTTTCTTGATCTGTGTTTTCTGCTGCCGCTGCTGGGCTGCCTGCGGCGCCGCTGGTATGGCCCAAGCCATACCCCACACCTCGTGGGGCACCTCCGGTGCGGTAGGGGTGGAGGAAATGGCTTCTGCTTTCTCGGTCCTTTTGGTTAGGGTCCTGGTGGTCATTTCTGGGGGCTCCTACCGCAGGTGGAGTGTTCCAAGAGGTGAGGTGTGTGTGTGTGTGTGGTTTTCCATCCGCGGTCTGCTTGATTCTTCCCGTCAGATTCCTGCCAGTGGGGCCTTCGGTGGAGCTCCCTATGGGGCCACGGGTGGATGATGTTAGTGGATGCTGCCACTGTTGATCTACGACTCTGTCGACCATGACGACGATAACGATGATGATGATGATGATGATGATGATGATGATGATGATGATGATGATGATGATGATGATGATGATGATGATGATCTTAGTGATTTTGGCGATGGTGATGACGAGGATGATGATAACTGTGTTCATGAGGGTGATGATTATGATGATGCTGATGATGGTGGTGATGATGATGATGATGGCGTGTGTGGTCATGAGGATGATGTTGATGACGATGATGTGTGCCCATGGTGCTACTGATGACGAGTGTTGGTGGTGGGGATGGTGGCGGTGGTGATGACTATGATAATGCTGAGGAGCATGACGATGATGATGATGATGATGATGATGATGATGCTGATGATGATGCTGATGATGTTATTGATGGTGATGATGATGCTGATGATGCTGATGTTGATGATACTTATGCTGAGATGATACTGGTAATGCTAATGCTAATGATGATGATTATGATGGTGGTGTTGATGACGATGACGATAGTGGTGATGATGATAGTGGTGATGATGATGATGACGACGATGAGGATGATGATGATGATGATGGTGGTGGTGGTGATGGTGATGGTGATGGTGATGGTGATGGTGATGGTAATGGTGATGATAATGATGATGATGATGATGATGATGATGATGATGATGATGATGATGACGACGATGATGATGATGATGATGATGATGATGATGATGATGATGATGATGATGATGATGATGATGATGATGGATCATATTCTGAGGATGTCTCGGGCGAGGCGCTGGCGTCAGCACTCCCAAGGGGGGCCGCCAGGGGGTATTGTCTCGAGCGGTTTGCCTGTTTCACCACCCGACATCCTCCGCTTTCGGAGCACATTTTGAGGATGTCTCGAGCGAGGCGCTGGTGCCCGCACACCCAAAGGGGGGACCTTACCGCAGGTGGTGTGTTCCAAGAGGTGAGGTGTGTGTGTGTGTAGTTTTCCATTTGCGGTCTGCTAGCTTCTTCCCGTTGGATTCTTGCCAGTGGGGCCTTCGATGGAACCCTTTATGGAGCCACGTCTGACGGGTGAGCCGAAATGGTGGAGGTCACGCGTATGACTTTCGCTACCCGGGCCTTCGGTCGGTTCTATCGGTCAGTGGGTGTTTTGTAGCCGATTTCTTGGGTTTAGCCTCGGTGGTTCAAGCTACTGCTGTGCAGGCTCCTCCGCCCAGTATTGCACACGCACATACGTACACAAACGATCTTCCCCCAGTTCCGTTCTGATGGCAGCCCAGAGGATGCCCTGGGCCGTGTGGTCAGTGGTGCTGGTCGCCCACGGGGTGCCCACCGCGATTTCTATGACTGTGCAGACGACCGCGTCAGGGCGCGCGTTACGACCGAACGACAGTCCCGACAATTTCAACAATACGAACACGACGAAACAGGAAAGGGTCTCATGTGGTAGTGGGTGGTGGGATTCTTGTGGCGGTAGCTCATATTATTGGGCTTGCGGCAGCGGTTGTGCGCGAGGTACATACTACACAAATATATGGTGCGGCTGCTGCTGCGTGCAAAACGTCCCCGCGACGCCGAACCCGACGCCGTACCCGACGCCGTACCCGACGCCGTACCCGACTCCGTACCCGACGCCGAAGCCGACTCCGAAGCCGACGCCGCGCCCGACGCCGTACCCGACGCCGTACCCGACGCCGTATCCGACGCAGTACCCGACGCCGGACCCGACGCCGGACCCGACGCCGAACCCGTCGCCGTTCCCGACGCCGTTTCCGACCGACCGTACCCGACGCCGACCGACGCGAACCAGACGCCGACAACCCGACGCCCTACACGAACGTCTTACCAACGCCCCTACCGACGCTTACCCGAGCGTTTCCGACGGCATTCCGACGCTCGTGTCCGCCGGGTTCCCGACGCCGTTTCGAACGCCCTTCCCGGACGTCGGTCCGACCCGCCGTTTCCGACGCCCTTCCCGACGTCGTTCCCGACGCCGTTTCCGACGCCCTTCCCGACGCCTTTCCCGACGCCGTTTCCGACAGTTTTTCCGACGCCCTTCCCAACGGGCTTCCCGACGCCGTTCCCGACGCCCAGCCCGACCCCCAGCCCGACGTATCCTCTGGGCTGGCCGGCGCCACATCCGACGTTTCTTCCTGGAGCTCCCATGGCGGGTGGAGCCAGCGCAGGCGTGGCTGCCGCTGGCGACCCCCACCTTCAGAACGTTCTTGGCCAGCGGTTCGACTTGATGCAACCAGGAAAGCATGTTCTGATTAACATCCCCCGTGGAAGGCGTTCCAATGCAATGCTTCGCGTGGAGGCTGAGGCGCGTCAATTTGGAGGGCAGTGCGCAGACATGTATTTCCACGAGCTGAATATCACAGGTGCGTGGGTGGAGGCGAAAGGAACCGACGGTCTCCGTTTTCAAGCTGAGGGTGCGCACGACGAGCATCCGCAGTGGTTAAAGTTTGGGGGCGTAGAGCTCAAAGGCGCCCATGGGCGCACCGAGCAGGGCGCCTTGTACTTGAACGCTGGATGGCCCTCATGTGGCCTCTGTGGATCATGACGTGGACCTCCGTCTCGCTGGCCCGAGTAGGCAGGACGGAGTCTATCTCGAGCGGGTTCCAGTGGTTGATTCTCCAGACCCTAGCGGTGGTCTTGCCGAGGGCCTTCAGCGGGAAGACGGCGATGCACCTGAAGTCCTTGTCGTGATGAGGATGCTGGACGTCGTGGCAGTGCATCCGGAGCTCGGCCTCGCGCGGGGAGACGAAGGGCGGTGCATCTCCCAGCGCGGCGGAGGCGGCTGTTGCGCCGTCCCAGAGCTCTCGGCGGAGCTGAGCAGCCAAGGCCTTAATGGCCGGCGCATCAGGCTCCTTGTCTTCCCACAGCAGCGCTGCCGCGAGGTGGAGAACTAGGCGCTGCCTCAGCTCCGCTTCGCTTCCCTTGAGGCCCAGCCTGGTGCGCGTCTCCTCGTCGGGGTGTAGCTCATCTTGGAAGTCGAGGTAGTCCCACTCCTGGTCAAGCACGGTGAGCTTTCCGCGTCCCACCCCGGCTTCCTCGTCCCAGGTGGCGCTGCCGATGCTGAGGTCCTGCGTGCTGCTCCGCCCGGCCTTCGACCCGATCTCGTCGAGGGCCCGACCTGCCTCCTTGGCGAGGGTTGGCCCCTCATCGCGGGTCGCCTCCAACGGGATCTCCTCCACGCCCAGCTCGTTGTCCTCAGAACGGGCATGCGTGAGCCTGGCTAAGACGTGGGAATGCAGGTAGTCGCTGATGCCACCCCGGGCCGCCAGGGTTCCGTCCTCCAGGATCTTCTCGATGATCTCCCGCCTCGCGGCGGCGGCGGGGTGAGCAGTCCCCCCGGTGCCTACCGCCGCAGGGTCCTGAGCATGCGCGTCCAGCAGCCAGTCCACCTCAGGGCCCTGAACTGCTTGCCTGAGCTCCTCCTCGAGGGCGGTGGTCTGGATGTCGTCGAAGGCTGCCGGGGTTGCCCACACTGCCGGTGGGCCTCCCGCGCGGCTGCCCCCCGAGGCCGCCCCTGAAGCCTCTCCAGCGCCCCCCCCAGCTCGTTTGCTGTCCGCCTCGGCCTTGGCCTGTGCTCGGAGCTGCGCGACCCGTCCGTCGACCGAGGCAGGGTCGACCTTCGCCCCCGACCGTAGGCCACCACGCCGGATGAGCTGCGCCTGCACTGTCCAGTCGAGGTTGCCAAGCCCCTTGATAGCCTCGTGTGAGTGCGCGCAGGTCCCCGCCGCCTTGGGGCAGCCGGCCCAGGTGCAAGCGCCCCAGCAGATGACCTTCCCGTTCTTGTCGCGGGGGGCGTGCTTGACGGACCGGCCGATCTCGCTGGAGGTCAGCGCCTTGACGGCAGGGTAGGCCCGAGCTGCGGGCCGCTTCTTGGCTGCGGCCTTCTTGGCGGCAGCTCCTGCCTTCCCGGTGCCTGGCCCAGGGGCGGTCGGCGCCCCCTGGCCAGCTGGCGTCGGCTCCCCAACCCTCCCAGCCTTGGGGGCCTTTGGAGGCTCAGCGCGCAGGTTCTGGTGCAGGGGCCTCTGAGGCCGCCGAGCTCAGCGCGGGGCGCGCACCGCCTGATAGTAGCCATCCGGCGCGTCGAGGTCGCACACGTTCGGGAACGTCAGCCAGGCGCTTCCAGTCGGTCCCGTGGGGGCGAGAGCGACGGTCTTGATGTCCTCCCTTCGCAGGCTAGTGAGGCCCAGGATCCGACGCACCTCTCTCCGCTTCTCCCGGAGCTGCTCACACCAAGTCGCGGCGAGCTCCTCCCACAGGCTGTGCACGTAGTCGGCGGGGAAGGCCACGTCGTCCTCCTCGTATGCG